AAAGTAATAATAATATTGAAAAGAAAGTTAAATATATTTAGTTTTCCAAACATTTCTGAAGAATAACCTATTAACCCTGATATTATAATATTTTTTAAATTACCATCTGTCCTTACAAACTTACATATTTATTTATTTTCAATGTAATCTTATTGTAAAATATTAGCAATGACCGTTCTTACCGTTTAAACCATCACATATAGCAACCATCATCGTGCAAATATATGCAAATGAATTTCTTTCTAAAATTTAAATATACAAAAATAATAGTTTGTTCGAGGGAATTAGTGAATAGTGACCAAGTCTTATCGTACTCAATTGAAAGGTCAAGCTCGTGCACATATTCATATCTCTCTTCGTGTGTCTTCACTCCGAGGCTTTCCAATTAAGCAATTTAGATACGGGTCCCGGTACTGACACAACATTATACAAATGTAAAACAACGGCTATCGGAATGATAATTCGGTGATGTAAATAACAATAAAGTTATCAGGAAAGGCAGCTTTGTATGGGTTTTGACAATAAAATGTGTCGTGGAGTGCGCAGAGCGGACACGACCCGCCGCGCGGTAGGTATTAGGACGAATTTACGAGCGCTCACGACATTGTCCCCCTCGCTCTTGATTGCATCACCCCAATTTTACCAATCGACCGTGAGTATATGTTGGTCTAAAACTACCTTCCATACGTTTTCAATTGTCAAACTTATAACATAAAGTACTAATTAGGAACAATCACATTGGGCCGCATCCCGTTGAAGTCTTTTGTATGTGAGTTTTTCAAAGCTCATGAAGAATCTTTTTTTGATGAGCTTTGAAAAACTCACTTTGAATGAATTCAAACAACCACGCATCGCACGCAACTAAATCAATACACAAACGAATTACAGCGTTAATTTTGTTCAATTGTATCGTAACATGCTCTAGATTGCGAAGCGTAATCTATTGCCATTTAAATAACAGTCGATACAATAATGGCACAATAAGAAAAGCTAGTAAACCCGTCCTCAAGGCGCTGGCTGCATTATTCGGAACCAGTTTGAGTTGCTCTAATTAACAATACACAAATCGTAGCTTGTATGCAAATAAGAAGGGAGTAGAGGCAGGGATTGTCCTAGACGTGGCATACACTCGCATTCCACTTGCTACGGGCAGGAAAATCGTCTTATAAAAAGAAGAATCGATATTTTTTTTGTTACGACTAATATGTTTAACTTTAATATTTTGTTCGTGTTATGTTGATATTTGAAATTCTCTTAAATTTCAATATTTATCAACTTTAAAACTGTACCGTTTACTGAATAAATGGTGGTTCTTGATAATATTTAAAGTCAAATATGTCACTACTTACTTTCACATTTTCTTTTAACACAACATTGTATATTGAATTGATTGTTTTAATAAAATAAACGTTGCTTTTGAAATTTTGAACAATAAATTAATAAATGTACAAAGCAAAAAGAAAATAAAGTGAAAATTATTATAGGTAAACTTTCTGCTTGAATTATTTTCCTACGTGAACAAGGTGTTCATAAAATGTGAATACTAAATTACATTTTAACAATAAATGTTATTAAGCTTACTTTAATTACCTATAACGTGCTGATTTAAAATAAAGTTCTTTAAAAGTAAGAATATACTGTTCGACTGTAAAAGTGTTCGAGTTCTGAAAAATTATACATTAAATGAAACGACAATAACGTCATTCCGTTCCTTTCGAACGCGATCGGTGTGCACGCGGCCTAATCGTAAAATTGAATTAAAAAAACGAGATAATAAAAGAGGATCGCGTCGTAATTCTGGCGCGCGCGACAACGCAGCACTTTTATTTGGAGGGATCGCGTGTGGCGGCGCGGCGCGCGGGCCGGGCACCTAATCGCGCGAGCTTTATTGTATTCCACTTGGTGCCGCCATCCTGTAACATTATAGATATCTCGCTGCCCTTATCATTGTCTCTCACCTCCAATAACATTGATTAGATATTATACGCGTACGATTTAACTTAACGCTATTTCTAATGTCGCTTACGTAAAAATACCACCGTCGTTGTCAGAGATACGCCTGTAAATTTTTGTTATTTGTTTTTATATTCTTACCAAGAGAATATCTTTTCTACGTTATCAGCAAACGTCAACTGCGCTCGATGTTTTATTGTGACGTATTCGCATTAATAGAGTCACCCACCATGTATTTTCTAACTTAACTTCGGTTTAGAGAAGTAGTTATAACTAAGAGTTCTTCAGTAATAATGAAATCGTAATTGCGGTGGATATATATCGAATCCAAAATATCTACTTTACAATGTAATATCAAGATCTACTAACAGTATTTGATCAATACAGAAACTATAATAAGAACAGTCTATACAATTGTATGTAATAATGTAATTAATGGATGTATGTATGATGAGAATTTGGGGTGGGTTTTCAGCATTTAAACAGATTTTTAATCTAACATGCAAATGTATAAGACGAACGTACTCGTATATCGTCCTGATTGGCGAAATACTGAGGGAGCGGCGTAAGAATTATTTGTAATTTAAAATATGTATGAATGAAGCAGAAATTATGATTTTATTTATGTATACGTTTGTAGGTACATATTTATGTATGTATGCAACTAACACTTACCATTAATATTATTTTATAAATCTGTCTTTATTCTATGTACTTTTAAAGCTAATGAAACTTACAAGTAATTCAAAGAGTTCGAAATGAACGTTATAGGTCGCTCTCGTTGGAGACAATCTTATTTTATTTATACCCGCCGAGAGCGAACCTCGCGAGGCGGCTCATTCAAACAATTCGCCCTTTTTTATGTAAAAGATTCTACGTTCATATAACTGACATGGAGTACAATGATTTCGTTTCTACATCACCCTAGCCTTGTAAAGATTCACATTGACTATCGGGAAACAACATTATAGGGATGTGTGTACTATCAAATCAAATCAAATCAAATTTATTTGAACTTTACTTACTTTTAATATATACGTATGCACAAACCTCCACAGACCGATGATCTATTTTTTAATACGTTGATTTAGGAGTGATAAGCTCCTTTGAGTAAATTATTCCTACTACTAAACATCTTAAAAGGTATAAGATTTTGAACTACCTATTCTCCAGGACATAAGTCCTGATTTGATGTTCAATAGTTTCTTATTAGAGTGTTAGTGTTGAATTATAAACATTAACCTCCTCGTAAGTAATTTCTAACGCAAACATGAAAACTAATTACTAAATAAACGAAAAGTAAATTTAAGAAGCCTATTACTTACGAGGATTTCTTTATTGGTATATTTATACTATTTAACGAAGGCATTACTTCAGTACCTCTTAAGATTACTTTCAAGATTAATTAAATACCTATTGTAATGCATACTGCTTATGTTTTATACAATATTTCAAATTAATCTCAAGAATTTTCAAGTTTTACAAAGCTTACAAAGAGTCACTAACTCTTTGTAAGAAAATATGTCATTTGAATATATTATAACAATAATTCTCTGAACCAATATTATGTCAAATGTATCCACAGAAATCCAGGTATACTGCCATTCAAATAAACTAAAACATTAAGAATAAGGTAAGTCATTATTCCAATAAAAACGTTTTTTATTAATGGCATTCATAAAATGTCTCAATGTTCCCATAGCGTTGGAAATGTTATATTTTTACATAAAAACGCACTACATTCTTAAATAAAACAGCCAAACATTTTAAATGCACTTTTGTTCGTTTTATGTTCATCTGATATATGAAAAGTCTCAATAATACGATGATGTGGCAAGTTTGATCAATATTTTAGCATCAAAAATGAATGATGAAGGAATATTCATGTGTCAGTTAACAGTTATAAATATTATATTATTTCGAGTCAGCGTAACGCGATCCTGACCAAAACACTCGCGATATACTGAATAATATGAAAACATTACAAAAAACAAATGCGAAAGCCGTTAACAATGTTCGAGGTGTTTCGCATAATATTATCAGAATATGAGCTTCTGAATAGTCGTTAAGTGGGCATCGTTTTTATTTACTCGAAGCGTAATATTGGAAGCGCATTTTCCGGTGGCCAACCGGCCCGTCCGAGGTGACTTGTAATTTCAAGTGTTTACCCGGCATGCGCCCAGCAGGACGTCCAACAACAATGCCCATATCCTTTTCACATAAAATATGTGGAAAGTCCGACTACCAGCCGGCCACGGATCGGCGGTGCGATACTGCGGCCGCATTATACGGGCTGACTGCCTACCGAGAACTTTTTATGAGGAATCAAATTGATTGGTTCCCCGATAGTATCGAGGTTTCACGTATTGTACTGCGTACCGGGTCCGGTACGGCGCGGGAGCCGCGACCGTTGATTGCGACGCTTCTCACACCTTTTAATATTTAGTTATTCGTGTTGTAAAGCTAAGCTTATGAGTAACCTAATCAGAGAATCGTATTAGCGCCGATATTACCGGTGTAATGTGTTAAAGTAGAAAGTTAATTGAATAATTGATGCTGCACTATGGTCTACAGGTGTGCTTTGAACCAAAATAATACTGTAATATGGCCTTGAGAGAAATTTCTAATAATATTTTTCACACAAAAAATATATATAAAATACATAAATATATACCTATGCAATACAAAAATACTTACTTAATATAGACATAATGTACTAAGGTAATAAATTACCTTTGTGGTCGTTCTACGAAATAATGATAAGGCACCGTAATAGAAATTGATCAGAAAAATAAAAGCGTCCGTAACTCGCGGCGAACGATCTGCGGCCGGGCCGCGCTCATGACGTGCTCCGCGATCGTCCAGCACAAAACCAAACCACAAAGATAAAAATATATTTCAAAATGAGACCCACTTTGTGTTTTGAAATTACAATCAAATAAATTACGTTTTATTGCTCAATCTCGTTGGGTTTTATTAAGGTATCGGCGCTGACCGCGAGAGGATAAAACATGGAGGGTTTACGCGACAGCCGAGATGTTTCCTTACGCCACGTCGCCGACAGATAAACGGGGCAGCTTTACATGGCCCTCGAGTTTGGGAGATAAGCCATCGTGCCGTGTGCATGTCGACATGCGGACAATAGAGCACCGCGCGTACGCCACGTTCGTCTTATCACTCTAAAAAATCCCAGTCCCGAGGCGTTTCCGTAATAATTCAAACGCCTAATCTTAATCCACTTACGGAAAAGTGGCGTCTCTTTCTACGATACGGCATTCGCTTGATAGAAACGCAATTTAACCGTGTTTCCCTTATTGGAAGGGCAAAACATTTTCTCGTGTAACATAAGCATCAATACGAAGCTGTAAAGCTAATGAAACTTTCAATGTAACCATAAAATACCAGTCCGTAGGGAATTTTAGAGGCGTAGTCACTCTATTATTATTAGTTATAACGCGTCGTTTTACAAGTTCCCCCCATAACTCCTCGTGTATATATCACGTGGTTCGTGTTAACCATTTAGTCTGTCTACTTATCTCTGATAAACGGGACGACCACAATTTCAACGCTGCCCTCAAGCTAGGTGCTCAATGTCAAACCATATTTTCCGCGCGAAAATAAACAAATCAATGTTTCCCGACCAAGGGACACGAAGGCATATCGTGTTGATTAATGCTGATTGCTGAAGTGTCGGCGCATGTATAAGTAATGCAGCAGCCCACCGGTGTGTTTCCGCCTCAACCGGTCTTAGAACAATGTGCCCCAAACATTTACTCTTTTACTATTCGACGCGAGAAATCGGCCCGTGAATAAAAGAGCTTCACAATCACAAAAGGAGGAATGAATACTACATGAAGAGCGTTGTATGGCAGATTGATTTCGTTTTACGATGTCCTTATTTTACACGATATTTCTAATCTACATCGAATTCGCTTTTAGCACGTAAGATTTATGGTATCTATTCAATTTAAATATATCACGTAATTTTTCAAGCAAACTGAAATCGATTGACTTTAACTTTCAACACACTTTATTTTAGCTTAACCTGAATATATTTAAGTGTGACAAAAACAAAAATGAAACGTTCGGCTGTTAAATTAAACTATATTTACTACTTTTTTCCAGCCCTCTCGACACTTCAGAATTATTTGAAACTTTGCGTAACTATAAAAAACCGTCACCTGTTTTTAGGGTTCCGTACCCAAAGGGTAAAACGGGACCCTATTACTAAAACTCCACTATTCGACTGTCTGTCCGTCTGTCACCAAGCTCTATCACATGAACCGTGATAGTTAGACAGTTGAAATTTTCACAGAAGATGCATTATTGCCGCTATAACAACAAATACTAAAAAGTGGAATAAAAAAATATTTAAGTGTGGTTCCCATACAACAGACATAATTTTTTACCGTTTTAAAAGATAATTGCAAGGAACCCTTCGTGCACGAGACCGACTCGCACTTACCGGTTTTTTTGTTCTAACTTCAGCAACGCGTGATAAATGTTTCATTATTAAAATATAGGCAATCATTGTTACTGGCAAAATTAATATAAATTTGGGCGTATCTTTTAGGTTTTTTAACTGATATTATTAATAATAATGAAGAAATTTTCAAGTCAAATGCTTGCTATAGAATATGCATAAGCAAGAAAACGGATATGTCGCATACTTATGCTGAATGAGCATTGAAATGAATCCGAGAGCATAATCCAATGCGTGTGTCCCTCCCTCAAGGAAACCTATTTATCATCGTCACCTACAGTGCGGTGACTTGTAATTGTGCGCCATATTGTTAGCTTGAATTATAGCCTCGCCGCAAAAGGATTCCCTTCCGCTAAGACACCTATGCAACAAAGAGATATAATTCAAAACCCAAATAATGCAAGACGTAATATCATATAGCCGTGTGTGCTCGAAAGGACATATGCTCAGACTATAATGCATATTTTACGGAGACTGAAAAAAACAAAAAAATATATTTTAACGAGCAATCGATCGAACAATAAATTAGACGGTAATTTCGTGCCAGGAGCAAAAATAATTGCATTTAAATTCATCCCGCGGAAAGTCATCGTTTACTTGAAGCGGCCTCTTATTCATCAGAAATACCCTTTCATTAACGGTGCGTGATGGTTCAATTAAAGTCAGATGTTTACGCTGTAATTGCCGGTATCAGATGATCCGCAATAAATTTTTATCTACGCACTAGGGTTGTCACAACAATAAACTGGTTAAATTAATTATTTCAGGGGTTTTATCGCGTTTCATTTTGATTTCGAATTCCCGACGCTTCGAACCTTGTAACGGTCATCAAAATTAAAACTGTTGCTCTTGCTTTCTATACCCATATATACTCAATATATTTTGATACAGTTCAAAAGGTGTAAAAGGTTTTTAATACACGAACTGTTTGTTATAGGCAGTCGAGAGGCAAGAGTAGATAGAAACAACCAAACAAAAACATGTATAATTTTAAATTAATTCAGTAACCATCAATCGGGGTTGCGAAATGATTGTATTGTCATCTTTTTCAAATGTCTGTACAAAATACAGGAAACCAGTGGAAATTTTATAACAATTTTCTTTAGTGAACTGAAGACTATTAGGCATAGATGTGGGATGAAGTCTATCACTTCAATTACAACGTAATGATATCCTTATTATTATTCTATTGTCCGTTAGACGTAACATAAAAACGAGATTATTTGAAGTCCGTTTTACTCTTCTACCTTTCAATACAAACGTGATATACGAAATAAGTATGAAGTATGGACAGGAGTATAAAAAAATAGTAAAGACGCAATTACATCGAAATACAGTATTATACAATTAAAATGTTGATGCTTTAATAATTTTGGATAAGCCGTTACAAAACGATTCACCTGACACGAATGAAAAATCCTTGATCACCCTAAACGATATCATTCGTCCAGAAACAACACAATATTTCACCCGGGTCGTACCCCACGCGGTGACACTAGACAAAAATCACGCAGTCTCCCCATATATTAAACTTCATTTCTGTCTGGGATCTGGCGGGGATCCACCGGTAATACGGCGAAGGATTGTAGAGAAGTTAGCATAAAACATGGCATACGCGAATCGGGTAGCGTATCGGCACAATGTAGGAACACCAAACGTAAGACTTATCCGAACGGTTTTGAAATGCAAATAATATATTTACGGCATCGTCCACATCAATCTTTGTTTAGTCAACTTCTATTATCAAAGTAGTATTTGTTTCTCTATTAAAAATCTTAAGTACTGAGTACTTGCATCGTACACAAATTTGTAAGAAACATGATGAAATAGTGAAATATTTATTTACACACGAATTTACCTATTGAAATGAAAGTACCTGAAGTACCTTTTTTTGGTAAATCATGTATTTTGGAAATAAAAAATAAGGAAAAAGATCTGGTATAGAAAAAAAGGTAAAAAAAATAAGTGTGTAAATGATCGTGATACGAACCGCGGCCGTCTGTTTTGGGGCCGCACGATTACCGACCGAGCTATTATAACATTTTTTTTGCGGTGAAATTTACTGTCCTATTTGAATGATATTTTTCATTCCCTGAAAACAGGGATTAAAGGACATTTTCTAAAAATGAAACCTAGCTAGATCGATTTTTCGACCCCGAATCTACGCACATACTAAATTTCATGAAAATCGCTGGAGCCGTTTCCGAGATTCCGATTATATATATACAAGAATTGCTCGTTTAAAGGATAAGATATACATTGCAACATATGGATGAGTTGATCAAATATTCTAAAGTTTTTCTTTCATAGTACAGAAGGTTAACTATATCATCTCGGAATTAAATAGAATTATAAATCTTAATTTTAACATTATGATTTGTACAAATGTGCATTAAGTAGTCTAAAGTCAATTGATACGTGAATGAATTATAGTACCTATCAATTTTTAATTGCAGTACCTACATATCTCGCTGATTTAAGCATATTATGTTTTTTTAGTAGTTTTGTTAGTATTATATAATTATGAAAATATATTGCAATTATACTGTAAAGCGGAAATTCTTCCTATTTCTGATTTGATATAAAATAATTTATAAGAAATAAAAACAACTTTATCGAACCTGTTACAAACAGGCTTTAAGCTTTTATAACACACATATGTATTGTTAAGCATTTAGTTTACTTCAGAATAATAATACAATTAAAAAGTACGAATCGTGTTTTCTTTACGTTTAAATTTTTGTTCATTTCACGTGGTGATTAATTTTCTGAGACTGCCTGCTCGACTATAGGGCCTTTCTTGCTACTGCCAAAGGACAGGAGCTTACCTCTTTCCTCCTATTTTTTTTTTCGTGTTGTCTCTTAATGCAGTTTGCTCAGTTCCGTACTCTGCGGGGAACGCTGGGCGTTCTACGGCCGCTCGGTACGTCAGCCAGGCGATCGGGTTGCGATTCGTCGCTATTTGCGCACGCGAAAGCCGCTGCGGCGGGGACGCGTCGACTTATGACGGCCGTTATCCACCATCGCGCCGCTGTCAGCGCCTCGCGACATGCCCCCATCGCCTGCCAGCAATCGCTATTTCTCACTGAAACAATGAGCTTTAAAACGCCCGTACGGCACCTCGCGCTTGCTTATCACCTGAGCATAAATATCCCCTCAAACAATCCGACTCCCAAACGGTTTGGTGCGGGGATAAGTTGAACAGTTTAGAGGTGTTGCAATTTCAAATTCAATTGGACACACAGTTGCGATCGTCTTGCGGCGGTTCATAATGAGAGCACGTTATTTACGCCATCGAGGTGTGGCACAGTGCGTGCGTAGCTGCTTATATTACATTATTTGCATATCGTTATGTTCATTACCTCGTTTACTTCTTAATATATGGGTTACGCGATACACTTTTTATTTCATAAACTGGGAAATATGGCCTCATTAAATAATATTAGGTTGTAATATTTAGAAAAGTAGTTTCGTTTATGATCCTCCTCGTGTTAATATATTGAACCCGGGTCTTTATCATATCGATTTGTAAAATAGCTTCTTTATTTAACTGCATGGCGTCCGAAAGCAGGGAAAAGAGGATAGTTCAGAAAATATTCTCATCTCATGTAAACATAATCTAATAATTTATGAATTAACCGAGCTTACATTTAACCGATATGCTATTTAGAATATTTTGTTATAAGTTTTTTTTCGGATAAGAGAAAACTTTATGTTGCTTGCAACATTACATTGTAACTTCGAAAATAAGGTTCAAAGATGCGTAAAAATTTCTTATATAACAATAAATTTAGGTATTAACGACCAGATATCCATTTGCTCTTCACAAAGGTCTTTGAAGTCTTTGTGCGTCCTGTCTGAATGATATTAAAAAAAAACAATCAATTTGTCCTCAATTTAATGTGGGATTATTATCAACATCGACTATGGTACTAAACGTACAAAAGCACACCCAGCCCAAAGGCGAAGTTACGACCAACGCAACCTATAATAACGATAGATCGGCGCCGATATCTGTCCGACGATCGCCGAAATCAATTTTAAACAAACTCCTGCCACCACCTACAATTATCATTGTAGAACAATGCTCAACCGTTAAAAATCGCTCCGGTGTTAGAGGTCATTCGAGTCTACACGTAATGGAGGGTTCTTTCGGATCGAAAGGGAGTACCGATGATTTGTTGAACGTTCGTGCTTTGCCTCTCCCAAATATTCAATTACGGCACTTTTGTATTTTGATAATGAAGAGTTACTAAATTAACGGCTTTTTGAATGATCAATGAAATTTGTAATACAAAAATAATAAGAAATGTTAACAAAATTATTTTCAAACAACTTTAGCTTAGGAAACCAGTTCTTGATTTTAATTATAAAAATATACACGTGTAGTGTAGTGTATAAAAGCGTATTTATTTATTTATTTGTTTATTTACTTATTTAAGGGAAAAAGGCACACTGCAGTAGTTTAAAGAATCTTAACCGTTAGTTGTTTTAGTGAAAAAAATAAATAAAAATAAATAAAGGTACGGACCCCGAGTCCTTACCGTGTACTTATTTTCGTAATAAATAAAAAAGGGGAGAAGTTATTATAGAACAAGCTGTGTTTCTCTTCTATAGTCGTCTTTTAATATGTAAACAATTATAGATAATAGAATGACTGTCAATTTTTTATTGAAGTTATACTTTTTTGATGCGTTAGGAAAATATGAGAGTATAATTTTCACGATGCGCGCGCACACTGACCCCCAAAAAGCGACATGTTAAAGTTGGTTGGTTACTAATGTACATGTATATGCTTAATAATAATTTAATAGTAATGTATATATGATTTAGGACAGCCAGCTTGTGTAATTCTTGCGCATGGCAAATGAGTTTATACAAGTTGTAACACAATGCTGTTTAACTCAAATGAATGCAAATATTCCGATGAAACGTCGCAATAAAGAATAGGCTGTTTGTCAAGTACAAAAGTGAAAATAGGAGAAAATGAAGTGAGAGAGAGGGAGGCCCCTTGTAAAGGGTTCATATGCAAGTGCTACACACAACAACAGCAACAAAATTAAAATATTAATTTAATAGTATTTCTCATCGTAAAAAAGATTATTTAAACTGTCCGTCAGCTATAGGTCCAGAATCCAATAATTTAGCACCAAAATATATGTTTTTTTTAATTGCTTTAATTTCAAGTACTAAAGGTAAAATGAAGTCAATGAACAAGAAATAACAACACGAAAAACTTGCCCGGCCCATCATGTAATGTTTTTCGCTAAAATCACTTGTATACATTTTAAAATATTCAGTGTTTAGTATACACAATTATTACCCTCACTGATAAAAATCACTACATAGTATAAAACAAAGTCGCTCCGCTGTCTGTCTGTCCATAGGAGTATGTATGCTTAGGTCTTTAAAACTACGCAACAGTTCTTGCGATTTTTTTTTAACTAGATAGAGTGATTCAAGAGGAAGTTTTATATGTATATTACATTGCACCCATGGGAAGCCGAGGCGGCTAGTGTAAAATAAAAAAGAACATTCGAACAAATAACATTCAAATTTTAATTATAAAAAAAATGACTTCGGATACCTATAGCGCCATAGTTTAACGAATATCTGACTTTTATTATTTTTATGTTTGCCATTAGATTACGTGTAAAATATTTTGGCATACACTCGTATGATAGACCGCTTCAAAACATAAAATGCATGCAATGTCCTATCTTTAAAAACAGCCTGTTCAATCGATTTGAAAAATTGCAAAAGAAACGATAAATAAAGCTGATTTACACCCACCGCACTTACGGCAGCCTGGGGCCAAGTGCAGATAGTAAAATTGAAATTGATGATCATGTAAACTTTATTATTAGCGGCGTAAAAATGTAAGGTAAATCAAACAGCGCTATATTATATTGCGTGATCTAGTATCTGGTACCAACTAACTCTTTATTGCCTTTCATACTTCTTACACCATTCTAAGAAAGTAAATTACTCGACGCAATCGTAAAGTTAGTGCGAAGTACGGTAACACGAGTGCTTGGCTGGAGGATGTCAAATTTCTGTTTAAAACTGTTTTGTTTTCTCAAATTGGTCAGCTTTATATAATTTTGATTTCCTAATTATTTTTAGAGATACGAAGATAGTAAATAGCACATCATATCTAAAGGATTCGTAAGACATTTTTCTTAAATTATATGAATTTTTTTTATGTTTCATATTTAAAAAAATCAAAAGAACGTTAGACAGATTTTATTGCAATGTTGTAAGAAAAGCAAACGTAATAGAAATGATTGTGATGTGTAATAACTATTAAGCAATACAAGATATATAACCTGATTTAAACCTTTATTTTTAAATAACCTTTAAAGATAATAGAATAAAGACGATTTTTAAAATAACCAAACAGCTGAAGCGATCTGCATCAATGCAGATAGCGGGCAGTCCTAATTGGGTGCTCGACAAAAGTGTGCATTATTAAATTAACTTGCGTTTCGACGATATATTTACGAGAGTGGTAATTTTTCAAGAGCAGACAAGCCTCGCAGCGAAGGACTACATTCGCCTCGCTCGCGACTTTGCATCACCAGCCGCAAGGTCCACTTCAAAACTGCATTCGCTAATTTTGTTATTCTAACGACTGTACTTGCGAGTAAATCAAACCATACCATGAATAAAATAAGTGGATATAAAGCCCTATAAATAGCTACATAAATTAACATAAAAGCGTTATAAAGTCGTTTAGTGAAATTGTTTATAGTTGCAACTTGATTTATATCAACGAATTCTGCTGTAATGAAGCCTTACAAAAAGGCTTTATCGCTGAAATGTATAAAGTCGAAAATATTACAAATGATTTTCCGTGTTTTTTTATCTAACTTTCTCAGAATAATGAAAGTCAAAGGCAAAATGTTATTTATTTTAAGTGTCGTTGTTTTGTGCTCCTAACTGGATGTATACTGACCAGAAACAATGCAGGCTTATAGTTTTAATTATTGTTTTTATCATGTACATTTTATTATTAGCATAAATAACGTATCAAAACCGGGCGTCTGAACTTAATATGAAGTAACATTGCTAGATTATGTAAAGGTGTTTGAATTTCAATTCTACCTACCTGGTCAGTACAAAATCTCAGACTAAAGACTTCTTTAATTAAAACATATTTCACATCTATGGGTATCCAAAATTAGCCAACGTTACTCTGATAATAATTGTAGAGCTCTTATAATGATCACTTGTACAAACATATATTAATGTAATGGAAATTTCTACATTGCACTATGATTTAGCAAGAAATTAAAATAACAATGGAAAGTATGAGTTGACATGCTCGCCCAACGGGTTTGTGCCGGCGAATGCTCACCATTGCATTTCATAGCCTAAGGCTTTCGTTTCGAGCAATAAGTACACAGAGATAACTCAGAATGGCCGAGCAGTGCATCTCTCAATGCGGTGCTGAGATTATTTCATGAAAACTCACGAGCGACCATTAGCTAGCAGTACCTGGCATCAATTCCATCCTTATAGTTAAGACATCAAAGACTGCAGTTGGTTGCTTCTACCTATAAATAAACAATGAGTGTTTTTAATGACGAAAAAATTTTTATCTGATATAAAAATTAAATATCCCTAATATGTTTAGTTTAAAGCAATAACGGCCGATCTTCACTTCAAGTTTGAACAATTTACGCGTTACTTTATCAAAATGATAAAACTGAGGGCCAAGTCACTTACTTATTAGGGTATCGAAACTACTCGTAACTCTAACTCTTAAAGCACAATCCCTCCATAAACTCGATAAAGGGAGCCACGGCACTGGACGCAATGCATTCTATTACGGGCGCACAGAATTGACATGTCCAATCTTATCGTTAATAAGGCTTATTTAGTAATTTTATTATTGGTTCATCAGCAATTACGAGTTAATTTCACCCCAACTAGATGTGCAGCAATAAAAGAAGCTTCCGATTCGATTTATGGCCGGTTGCGGTGTTAAGCGTGGATACGATATTTATTGCTGCGCCGGTCTGTTTATTTATATAGAGAGGGTCGCGGTAGCGTT